CTATTTCCTGAGACTTGTAAAAGTTACAAAAAGTCACATTAGTTGTTTTGTGATTAACTTTATACACACAAACATTTTTTCATCCTGGCCACTTCCAGTTTTTTGGGGGGGGGGGGGGGGGTTTTTTAAAAAACCCTTGGGGTTTTTTCCACTTTTTGGCCTGAAAAAGGGGGGGGCAAGGCGGAAAGCAGGGGTTTCAACCAAAATGAAATCCCTTTTTTTTTTTCGTTTTTCCCAGGGAAAAGGAAAAAAATTATCCCCTTTTTCCCGGGCCCTTTGCACGGGTGAAAAAAGCCCCGGAAGCCGGAATGTTGAACTTTATTTTTAAAAAGGTGAATGGGGGGCCCTGCCCGGGGCTCTAAGGGGCGGGCCCAAAAGGGCACCTTGGGGAAAAATTTTGAAAATTAACGGGTTTAAAAAGTTGGGGGCAAAAAGGGTTTAAAGCCGGAAAAATAAACCCTTTTTTCTTCTTTTTGGTAAAAAATTTCCCCCTCCCCCTGAAGAAGAAACCCCCGGGAACCCCGGGGTTTTTTTTTTTTCCTTTTTGTGGGATAGGGTTTTCTGTGGACTGATGAAACATAAATTAGAAATCTGTTTGGGGCCCATGGATCAACGCTATGTTTGGATGAGGAAGAACAAGGCCTATGATGAAAAGAACACTTGCCTACTGTGAGCATGGTGGAGGGTCATCTTGCTTTGGGGCTGTTTGCTTCTGCAGTACAGGGACAGCTCAGCGTGTGCAGGTACCATGAAATTCTCTTCAGTACCAGGAGGATATTGGATGGAAATTGATGCTGTCCGTCACACACCTGAGGCTTGGGAGACGTTGGACCTTTTCACAGGACAAGACCCAAGCGATACTCCAAGTCCACTAGAGGCATGGTGTGCAGAGGGAAAGGGGGGAACAATTTTGGAGTGGCCTCGCAGTCAACAGACTTAATCCGATTGAGAAACTTCTGGTGGGACTTAAAGAAAGCATGTTTGCAGTGCGCAAGCACTAATGATATGTGACTGAAACTGGAGGGACTTTGCCCATGAAAAAAGAATGGGCGAAGATACCCGTTAGTATCGCTGCCAAGACACTTGTGTCAAGATATGCTGTCACGTATTTATAAATGCTGTTTATAACTGTAAAAGGATGCTACTAAGTACTAAGATTGGAATGTCACCTTGGGGGATTTTGGTGGGGGTTGATTAAAACTGACTAATGCTTGTGGAGACAGAAAAGACATTTGTCGGTTATTTCATTTTAACTGTTAGGTTATATTTGTCTGACCTACAAGTGCATTTTAATGTAAAATGTAAGCAAGATGACTGATGATCAAAAGCTAATGTCAAACTGGCCAAATACACTCAATTTCAGTGGGGGTTGAATAATTTTGGCCACAACTCGATATTACCCTCAGCTGGCTTTGATGAGTGTCTCACGTGCCGAATGTCACTTACTAAAGTGAACTGGGGCTGCGCTCTAAGCGGCCTGCAGCCATAGAGGCAATGCATACGGTTGCGTGTGGGGCTGAAGGGGTTAAAGCGGATATATCAAAACCCTCTGCTTTGTAAAATGCTCTCTCCGAAGAGCAATCCGAACATTTTTAGCTGTTCAGAGTGTGAATGGAGTCCAAGCTGGGTGGGTGGTACTATACTGGGGACCAAGAACAGTCTGTCAGTCTGTAACTAAAAATTAGAGCCTTTTTTACTGCTGGCCGGACGCTTTGGTGAATCCTCACTACAAATAAAGCGAATGCACACAAAGGTGAGCTCGGATCCCCAGTCCCATACTGGCCCCATCTGGATCAATACCCCCATACTGGTCCAAATCTGGATCAATATCCCCATACTGGTCCCATCTGGATCAATATCCCCATACTGGTCCCATCTGGATCAATATCCCCATACTGGTCCCATCTGGATCAATATCCCCATACTGGTCCCATCTGGATCAATACCCCCATACTGGTCCCATCTGGATCAATATCCCCATACTGGTCCCATCTGGATCAATATCCTCATACTGGTCCCATCTGGATCAATATCCCCATACTGGTCCAAATCTGGATCAATATCCCCATACTGGTCCCATCTGGATCAATATCCCCATACTGGCCCCATCTGGATCAATACCCCAATACTGGCCCCATCTGGATCAATACCCCCATATTGGGTGCTATGGCCACCGCAAGGATCATTCCAATGCCAGCCATTGCACACCATGTCAGTCATCTTGATTGATCTAGACTGTCGGGAGCGTCATGGCAGCTGTCAGAGAGATCACGCCACACACGCGCTGGTCTGAACACATCTTCCATGGTATGCATGCGGAAGAGAAAATAAAAGAATAGCATAGAATAGAATAGAATAAAATTAGAGCAGAAGAGAATGGAAAATAAAAGGATAGAATAGAATAGAAAAAAGAATGGAAGAGAAAAGAAAAGAATAGCATAGAATAGAATAAAACAAATAGAGCAGAAGAGAATGGAAAATAAAAGGATAGAATAGAATAGAAAAAAAAAGAATGGAAGAGAAAAGAAAAACATAATAAACGAATAGAAAAAAATAGAAGAGAAGAGAAAAGAATAGAAAATAATTAAAAGCAAGAGAAAAGAAAAGAATAGAATAGAAAAAAATAGAAGGGAAGAGAAAATAATAAGAAGATAATTAAAAGGAAGAGAAAAGAAAAGAATAGAATAGAAAAAAATAGAAGAGAAGAGAATAGAAGAGAAAAAATTAGAAAATAATTAAACAGGAGAGAAAAAAATAGGATAGAAAAGAATGGAAGAGAAAATAAAAGAATAGAATAAAAAAAAGAAAGAAGAAAAGAATAGAAAATAATTAAAAAAAAGGAAAGAAAAAAAAGAATAGAATGGAAAAAATAAAAGAGAATAGAATAGAAGAGAAGAGAAAAAAATAGAAGAAAAGAGAAAAGAATAGAAGAAAAAAAAAAAGAAAAGAATAGAAAAGAATTTAAAAGGAAAGGAAAGAAAAGAATAGAAAAGAATTTAAAAGGAAGAGAAAAGAAAAGAATAGAAAAGAAAAAAAAGAAGAGAATAGAAAAGAATAGAAAATAATTAAAAGGAAGAGAAAAGAATAGAATAGAAAAGAATGGAAGAGAAGAGAAAAGAATAGAAAAGGATTCAAAGGAAGAGAAAAGAATAGAATAGACTATAAAAGAATAGAATAGAATACAAAAAAATAGAATAGATTAAAATAGAATAGAAATAATATAGCCATCTTCTGAAATTTGAATTTTGAAAAGAATAGAATAGCGTAAAATGGAATACAGTAGTGTAGAAAATAAAGGAATCGAATAGAAAAGAAAAAAAAAAATCAGAAAAGATTAGAATAGAATAAAATAGAATAGAAAAAATAGAAAGAATATAGAAATCTTCTGAAATTTGAATTCCCAATGGAACAGAACCAGCTATTCTTCTCAATGAATTTGGATCAATTTGAGATTTTTCTATTCAGATTCGAGAACTTCGAATCCATTTGAAAAATTTGAGCTCTCTTGAACACGAAGCAAACCCATTTTTTTTTCATTCTTCCCGTCTCTAGAAGAGACTTGGATGCGCCATGAAACGCCCTCATCTCACAGAGGTCCAGGTAAAGGTGCCGAGCATGCGCTGCCCGAACCGTGATCTGGATAGCCATCAGGTCTCCCCTTGTTTCGGGGGGGGGGTGGTAATTGGCCGTGTCGCTTTTCCCGCGTCTTCTCGCCCGCACACAACATGCGGCTCTTTCTGGAAACATTCAAATAAAAGGGAAACAAATGATTTATTTTCGGCTGATGATTATTTTTCCCTCTAATTGAATCTGTCGTCTGTTTGTACGCGGAATCTCGCACCGCAAACTAATGACGCCGGCTGAAAACACCTGCCTGCCCCCCCCCTGGCCCCCGGCCCCAAACCCCCCTCCCCAGCCCCCCCCCCCCCCCCCCCCCCCGCAGCCCTCGGGAGACGATTTTTTTCTTTCTTCTTGTTATTCTGAAAACAGGTGATAAACTATTTTACCGAAAGTGGGAGGGGCCCCAAGAAATCGCCTGGAAACGAAGGTAATTTATTGTATGAGTCAATGAGGACGGCGCCCCCCCCCCCCCCCCGAGAGGGTTGGGGAGTCATTAGTGTAATCATGTGCCACTTAGATGTAATTAATTGGCTGGAAGCGGGGGGGGGGGGGGAGGGGCGGGGGGAGACAAAAGGGAACCTCTCATAAAAACAGATGCCAGGTGCAGCGCCATCATTTCTGGGATGTAGCCGAGGCATTGGAACCATTGGAGCCGTGATGAGGAGCACTTTGGTTGGCTCCTCGTTGTTCCCGCCCACTCATCCATTCTGTAAATTCACGGTTTTCCCAACTCTGTACTATATTGCCAAAAGTATTGGGCCAGCCCTCCAAATCATGTGATTCAGGTGCTCCAATCCCCTCCAAATCACGTGATTCAGGTGTTCCGATCCCCTCCAAATCATGTGATTCAGGTGTTCCAATCCCCTCCATATCACGTGATTCAGGTTTTCCGATCCCCTCCAAATCATGTGATTCAGGTGTTCCAATCCCCTCCATATCATGTGATTCAGGTGTTCCAATCCCCTCCAAATCACGTGATTCAGGTGTTCCGATCCCCTCCATATCATGTGATTCAGGTGTTCCAATCCCCTCCAAATCACGTGATTCAGGTGTTCCGATCCCCTCCCAGTCATGTGATTCAGGTGTTCCGATCCCCTCCATATCATGTGATTCAGGTGTTCCAATCCCCTCCCAATCATGTGATTCAGGTGTTCCGATCCCCTCCATATCATGTGATTCAGGTGTTCCAATCCCCTCCAAATCACATGATTCAGGTGTTCCAATCCCCTCCATATCATGTGATTCAGGTGTTCCAATCCTCTCCAAATCACGTGATTCAGGTGTTCCAATCCCCTCCATGTCATGTGATTCAGGTGTTCCAATCCCCTCCCAATCATGTGATTCAGGTGTTCCAATCCCCTCCTAATCATGTGATTCAGGTGTTCCAATCCCCTCCCAATCATGTGATTCAGGTGTTCCAATCCCCTCCCAATCATGTGATTCAGGTGTTCCAATCCCCTCCCAATCATGTGATTCAGGTGTTCCAATCCCCTCCATATCATGTGATTCAGGTGTTCCAATCCCCCCCATATCATGTGATTCAGGTGTTCCAATCCCCTCCATGGACACAGGTGTATACAATCAATTCAGCCCCCTAGGCATGCAGACAGGCTTCTACAAACATTGGATGAAAGAATGGGTCGCTCTCAGGAGCTCAGTGACTCCAAGCGTGGTCCCGTGATAGGTGGCCACCTGGGCAATAAGTCCATCCATGACATTTCCTGGCTACTAAATATTCCACGCTCAACTGTTAGTGGGATTATAACAAAGTGGAAGCCACTGGGAACAACAGCCACTCAGCCACCAAGTGGTTGGCCATGTCACATGACAGGGCGGGGTCAGCGCATGCTGAAGCGCACAGTGCGCAGAAGTCGCCAACTGTCTGCAGAGTCCAATAGCTAAAGACCTCCAAACTTGGTGTGGCCTTCAGATGAGCCCAACAACAGTGCGTAGAGAGCTCCATGGAATGGGTTTCCATGGCCGAGCAGCTGCATCCAAGCCTTCCATCACCAAGTGCAATGCAAAGCGTCAGGATGCCGTGGTGTAAAGCACGCCCCACTGGACTCTAGAGCAGTGGAGGCGTGTTCTCTGGAGTGACCAATCACGCTTCTCTGTCTGGCAATCCCATGGACTTGTCTGGGTTTGGCGGTGGCCAGGAGAACGGTACTTGCCTGACTGCATTGTGCCAAGTGTAAAGTTTGGTGGAGGGGCTCGATTATGGTGTGGGGTTGTTTCAGGGGTTGGGGTTGGCCCTCTAGTTCCAGTGAAGGGAACTCTTAAGGCACATTTTGGACAATTTCATGCTCCCAACTTTGTGGGAAGAGTTTGGGGATGTCCCCTTCCTGTTCCAACATGACTGCCCACCAGTCAAAGCAAGGGGTCCATAAAGACATGGAGGAGCCAGTTTGGGGTGAGGAACTTGAATGTCCTGCAGGAGGGATGGCCCTTCCTGACCTCAACCCCATAGAACACCTTTGGGATGAATTAGAGCGAGACTGTGAGCCAGACCTCCTCCCCCGACATCAGTGCCTGACCTGACAAATGTGCTTCTGGAAGAATGGTCCAACCTTCCCATAGACACCCTCCTAAACCTTGTGGACGGCCTTCCCAGAAGAGTTGAAGGTGTTATAGCTGCAAAGGGCGGAGCCAACTCAATATTGAACCCTACGGACTAAGACTGGGGGGCCATTAAAGGTCATGTGTGTGGAAAGGGCGGGGCCAACTCAATATTGAACCCTACAGACTAAGACTGGGAGGCCATTAAAGGTCATGTGCGTGGAAAGGGCGGGGCCAACTCAATATTGAACCCTACAGACTAAGACTGGGAGGCCATTAAAGGTCATGTGCGTGGAAAGGGCGGGGCCAACTCAATATTGAACCCTACAGACTAAGACTGGGGGGCCATTAAAGGTCATGTGTGTGGAAAGGGGGGCCAAATTCAATATTGAACCCTACGGACTAAGACTGGGGGGCCATTAAAGGTCATGTGCGTGGAAAGGCCGGCCAACCAATATAATGTATGTCTTTTCCTCCATGTTTTTCTCTCCGGATCTATATGGCAGCTTTCAGTTCGATTCTTTCCATTTGGTAATATATGTTTCTTTGTAGTTATGATCTCGATCTTCTTAGCGGTATCAATCAGGATCGTTCTGCAAAGCAACCCTCAGAAAAACATTCAGTCATTTGGGCATCTTTATCCAGCTTGGAACCCCCTTGCACCCATGTACTTGTAGGCAGGTGCAGTCTGCTTTCTCCACTGCAGGTGGTGCTGATCTGGTGCAAAGAAACATAGTTGCTCTATGGTTTCCTAGGTCATTGGAGCAGTGCTCTGGTTGGCTATGCTGCAGCCATGTGACTCTTGGTTGCCATCTTGGGTTAGTAGGGTCTATTTAAATCGCTGCCCCTGGATCTTGGGGCTCATTGTGCGAGTGGATAGTGTAGGGAGAGAGATCCTGTTTGTTCGGGAAAGTAAGTAGAAGCAGGGAAAGGTTCCTGAGGAGAAGGGACAGTCTAGGGACTTGCTTTCCTGGAAAAAAGCTTCCCCACTTCGGAATGGACCGGCCAGGCCACACTTCAATCTCTGAAACAGATGCTGTCGGCATTTCTCTTCAGGCACATCATGAACTGCATTGAATTGTGAGCTATTTTCCCAAGCAGTGCTCCCCACTAGGGTGTCTATAATGTCGGCATTCTGCTTAATACAAGTTTGAATTTTGCAACCCATCTCTCTGTGTTCCCTACTGCCGCACCACCCTGCACCTCCCCACGTGCTCCTTATCCACTTCTTCAACACCTTCCCTGCATTATATTTTAAAACATTTCAAGGATCCATACTAGATGTCTTCAGAGCAGTCACGTGATAAGTCAGGGTCCCTCTTCAGCAATGGTGGTGGGCAGTCCTCTCCTCTGCAAAGAATGCTGGTAAAGTTGATGAGTGCTGGCCTATGTAGAAGAGAAGACTCCCCACCACCATTGATGAAGAGGGACCCTGACTTATCACGTGACTGCTCTGAAGACATGTAGTATGGATCCTTGAAATGTTTTAAAATGTAATCCATACTAGATGTCTTCAGAAAAGTCATGTGAAAAGTCAAGGTCCGTCTTCAGCAATGGTGGTGAGGAGTCTTCTCCTCTGTATGGATCAGGTTCTGAAGTTGATGAGTGCTGGTCTATGTAGAGGAGAAGACTCCCCACCACCATTGATGAAGAGAGACCTTGACGTATCACATGACTGCGCTGAAGACATGTAGTATGGATCCTTGAAATGTTTTAAAATGTAATCCATACTAGATGTCTTCAGAAAAGTCACGTGATAAGTCAAGCTCCATTTTCAGCAATGGTAGTGAGGAGTCTTCTTTGCATAGACTAGCAATTATCAACTTCAGCACTGGTCTATGCAGAGGAGAGGACTCCCCACCACCATTGATAAAGAGGGACCTTGACGTATCAAATGACTGGTTTGAAGACATGTAGTATGAATCCTTGAAATGTTTTAAAATGTAATCCTTGATGTCTTCAGAGCAACCATGTAATAGGTCAAGGTCCCTCTGCAGCAATGGAGTTGGGGAGTCTTCATCTCTCTATGGACCTGTTCTGAAGTTGATAAGTGCTGGTCTATGTAGAGGAGAAGACTCCCCACCACCATTGATCAAGAGGGACCCTGACTTATTACGTGACTGCTCTGAAGACATGTAGTATGAATCCTTGAAATGTTTTAAAATGTAATCCATACTAGATATCTTCAGAGTAGTCATGTGATATGTCAGGGTCCCTCTTTATCAATGGTGGTGGGGAGTCTTCTCCTCTGCATAGAACAGGAATCATTAACTTCAGTACATTCTATGCAGAATAGAGGACCCCACCACCATTGATAAAGCGGGACCTTGAACTATCACGTGACTGCTGTGAAGACATATAGTATGGATCCTTGAAATGTTTTAAAATGTTACCCATACTAGATGTCCTCAGAGCAGTCACGTGATAAGTCAGGGTTCCTCTTCCGCGATGGTGGTGGGGAGTCTTCTCTGCAAAGATCAGCACTCATCAACTTCAGAACCCGGTCTATGCAGAGGAGAAGACCCCCCACAACTATTGCTGCAGAGGGACCTTGACTTATCTTCTCCGAAGACATCTAGTAAGGGTTACATTTTAAACCATTTCAAGGATCCATACTACATGTCTTCAGCGTAGTCATGTGAGAAGTCAAGGTCCGTCTTCAGCAATGGTTGTGAGGATTCTCCTCTGCACAGAACAGGAATCATCAACTTCAGCACCGTTCTATGCAGAGGTGAGGACTACCCACCACCATTGATGAAGAGTGACCTTGACATATCACATGACTACGCTGAAGACATACTGTATAGTATGGATCCTTGAAATGGTTTAAAATGTAACCCTTACTAGATGTCTTCAGAGAAGATCAGTCAAGGTTCCTCTGCAGCAATAGTTGTGGGGGGTCTTTTCCTCTGCATAGACCGGGTTCTGAAGTTGATGAGTGCTGGTCTATGCAGAGAAGACTCCCCACCACCATTGCTGAAGAGGGACCCTGACTTATCATGTGACTGCTCTGAGGACATCTATTATGGATCCTTGAAATGTTTTCAGATGTAATCCACACTAGACGTCTTCAGAAACGTCATGTGATAAGTGAAGGCCAAGTCTAGTATGGAGCCTTGAAATGTTTTAAATGTAATAAATACTAGATGGAAAAATTTTCTTCAGCAAAAAAAATGAATAAACGAAACCAAACAAATTGTGTTATGGATACAATGAAACAAAATGAGCAACTTAACAAATCGATCCGAAACAAAACTATTTTCTTCATTCTGCACGTGTCGTATGAATTATTTTCTTTGCAGGGAGAACTTTTAACATGTTTTAATCCCTTGAATCACTTTAATCCTTCAATCAAAACAAACAAAAAGGTTTTCGGCTGAAGTTCTTCGTACCCCCCCCCCCCCCCTCCCCCCCCTCCATATTCTTCCATGTTACAGGTGCCGGGTGACGCCATCATTTACCTGAAGCTAATCAAAGTTCTATAAAAGCATTAGAAGGGAAAAAAAGTCTCTGTAAAGCAGGAAGAGCCTGACTACAACGTGCTGTAATGTTCCTGGAGGATCATTTATGCAACACTCAGCGCATGCTTACTCCCACAAGCGTGCGGTTCATTAACTGCGCGCCATTATATGTGCTGGTGGGAGGGATGTCTATCACTGGTGTGTATGATGAGAAATCCATCCCAATATTTACTGTACACTCAGATTTGATGTTCTTATTTACCCTAATGTTACAGCGCCCACTCTCATCACCGCGTAATGTGCGCCGCCACGGCAAGGTGACACATGTACAGGCAATCTGCTCTCATAAGTCATACTTGCTCATAAATAGAGGACTACCTGATATAATATTATTATTTAGGAATTAATATTTATTATCATTATTATTATTATTTATTAATTATTATTTATTATCCTTGTTCTTATTATTATTTATTATCATTATTATTATTATTATTATTTATTATTATCTTTGTTCTTATTATTATTATTATTTATTAATTATTATTTATTATCTTTCTTATTGTTTATTATTATTTATTATATTTCTTCTTATTATTGTTATTTATGAATTATTATTTATTAATATTAATTATTTATTTATTAATTATTATATATTATCCTTGTTCTTATTGTTATTACTTATGAATTATTATTTATTGTCGTTCCTATTATTTAATTATTATTTATTAATTGGTATTATTACTATTATTATTGTTATTACTAATATAGAAATATTTTGCAAATCCACGCCACGCTGAAGGCCACACCAAGTTTGGAGGTCTTTAGCTATTGACTCTGCAGACAGTTGGCGACTTCTGCGCACTGTGCGCTTCAGCATGCGCTGACCCCGCCCTGTCATGTGACGTGGCCTACCACTTGGTGGCTGAGTGGCTGTTGTTCCCAGTGGCTTCCACTTTGTTATAATCCCACTAACAGTTGAGCGTGGAATATTTAGTAGCCAGGAAATGTCACGGATTAACTTATTGCCCAGGTGGCCACCTATCACGGGACCACGCTTGGAGTCACTGAGCTCCTGAGAGCGACCCATTCTTTCACCAATGTTTGTAGAAGCCGTCTGCATGCCTAGGGGCTTGATTGTATACACCTGTGTCCATGGAGGGGATTGGAGCACCTGAATCACATGATATGGAGGGGATTGGAGCACCTGAATCACATGATATGGAGGGGATTGGAACACCTGTATCACATGATTGGGAGGGGATTGGAACACCTGAATCACATGATTGGGAGGGGATTGGAACACCTGAATCACATGATATGGAGGGGATTGGAACACCTGAATCACATGATATGGAGGGGATTGGAACACCTGAATCACATGATTGGGAGGGCGGGGACAATATAGTATATTTATTGATGGCATTCGCCTATAAAGTCTCAATGGAGATTAAGTTGAATGCTCAGTACTATTATTATAATTATTATTATTATTATGTAATTCCATGCCACATGTAAACCTGCTGTAACAATACTAGTTACAAATTGCACCCTTTTAAGTCATTATTATTATTATAATATTGTTTATGAATTACTGATTATTATTATTATTACTATTATTATTATTATTATTTAATTCCATGTCACATGTAAATCTGCTGTAATAATGCTAGTTGCAAATTGCACCCTTTAAGTCCTTTAAGTCATTATTATTATTAATAATATTGTTTGTGAATTACTGATTATTATTATTATTACTATTATTATTGCTATTGTTATTATTATTATGTAATTCCATGTCACATGTAAATCTGCTGTAATAATGCTAGTTACAATTTGCACCCTTTAAGTCATTATTATTATTAATAATATTGTTTATGAATTACTGATTATTATTACTATTATTATTATTACTATTATTATTGCTAGTATTATTATTTAATTCCATTCCACATGTAAATCTGCTGTAATAATGCTAGTGCACCCTTTAAGTCATTATTATTATTAATAATACTGTTTATGAATTACTGATGATTATTATTATAATAATAATTATTATTATTATTATTATGTAATTCCATGCCACCTGTAAATCTGCTGTAATAATGCCAGTTACAAATTGCAACCTTTAAGTCATTATGATTATTAATAATATTGTTTATAAAATTACTGATTATTATTTTATTATTATTATTATTGCTGTTATTATTATTATTACTATTATTATTATTATCATTATTATTATTTTATTATTATTGCTTAATATTACTATTATTATTATTATTATCATCATTATTATTTTATTTATTATTATCATTATTATCATCATTATTATTATTATTATTATCATTATTATCATCATTATTATTATTATTATCATTATTATTATTATTATTATCATTATTATCATCATTATTATTATTATCATTATTATTATTATTATTATCATTATTATCATCATTATTATTTTATTATTATTATCATCATTATCATCATCATTATTATTATCATCATTATATTATTATTATTATTATCATTATTATCATCATCATTATTATTATCATCATTATTATTTTATTATTATTATCATTATTATCATCATTATTATTATTATTATCATTATTATCATCATTATTATTATTATCATTATTATTATTATTATTATTATCATTATTATCATCATTATTATTATCATTATTATCATTATTATTATTATTATCATTATTATCATCATCATTATTATTATCATCATTATTATTTTATTATTATTATCATTATTATCATCATTATTATTATTATTATCATTATTATCATCATTATTATTATTATCATTATTATTATTATCATTATTATCATCATTATTATTATCATTATTATTATTATTATCATTATTATCATCATTATTATTATTATCATTATTATCATTATTATTATTATTATCATTATTATCATCATTATTATTATTATCATTATTATTTTATTATTATTATCATTATTATCATCATTATTATTATTATCATTATTATTATTATTATTATTATCATTATTATCATTATTATTATTATTATCATTATTATCATCATTATTATTATTATCATCATTATTATTTTATTATTATTATCATTATTATCATCATTATTATTATTATCATTATTATTATTATTATTATTATTATCATTATTATTATTATATTCCAAGCCATCTGTAATCTGCTGTACTGATGTTACAGATTTCTCCATGTAAGTCTCCTTCTTCTCTATGTTGTAGGTGTTTGTCCTCATATTATAAATAAAGGTGATATTGTCCCCCCCCCCCCCCCCCTCCCCCCCTTTAGGTCCGATGACTTGTGTCGTGTTGGTTACACAACATCTTGTATGTAAGTGCCGTCCTCTTCCCGATAAGTGAGACACAGATGTAAACTTAGAAGAATAAAACGGCTTTGTGAACGCTGCTGGCGCACGGCGCTATATTAATATGTATTTTTTTCCCCATGGATGCACTTTAATGCACAGGATTAGATTCTGAGTTAAAATATATATTTTTTTTCGCCAGAACGATTTCTAAATTCCCAGAAGAAAGATAAAAGTGTATTTATTCAGGTAATCCAATATAACGTCTATAACGGGAATATAGACTATTTTCAGGAAACATCATTAATATCAGGAATTGGGTTCAAGTTCGTGGTGACCCAGGATTTGCCGAAAAGCTTTGGCTTGTTGGCCAAGCTGGGAAACTAAATGGGCCGCTCACCCGCCAGTCGAAACTGGACCTCCGGGTTCTGGGAAGTCATTTGTTCAATGGTGGCTTCAGTGGCGGCTCACATTGATGGCCCCAATCTTTTTGTGAACCTTCATACGCATTCCTGGAAAAGCCCATGAACCCGCGCATGTTCTGTCATCACTGGTTAATGTACACTCACCGGCCACTTTATGAGGTCCACCTTGCTAGCCCCATGTTGGACCCATTTTGCCTTCAGAACTGCCTTCATTCTTCGTGGCATAGACTCAACAAGGTGTTGGAAACATTCCTCAGAGATTTTGCTCCATATTGACATGATATCATCACGCAGTTGCTGCAGATTTGTCGGCTGCACATCCATGATGGGAAACTCCCGTTCCACCACATCCCAAAGGTCCTCTATTCGATGGAGATCTGGTGACTGTGGAGGTCATTGGTGTCCATTGACCTCATTGTCATGTTCAAGAAACCAGTTGGAGATGGTTTGAGCTTTGTGACATGGAGCATTATCCTGCTGGAAGGAGCCATCAGAAGATGGGGACACTGGAGTCATAGAGGGGTGGACATGGTCAGCAACAATACTCAGGTAGGCTGTGGCATTTAAGTGATGCTCAATTGGTACTACAGGGCCCAAAGTGTGCCAAGAGAATCTCCCCCACACCATGACACCACCACCACCAGCCTGAACCATTGTTACAAGACAGGATGGATCCACCACACCATGACACCACCACCACCAGCCTGAACCGTTGTCACAAAGCAGGATAGATTCACCACACCATGACACCACCACCACCAGCCTGAACCACTGTTACAAAGCAGGATGGATCCACCACACCATGACACCACCACCACCAGCCTGAACCATTGATACAAGGCAGGATGGATCTACTACACCATAAAACCACCACCACCAGCCTGAACCATTGATACAAGGCAGGATGGATCCACCACACCATGACACCACCACCACCAGCCTGAACCGTTGATACCAGGCAGGATGGATCCACCACACCATGACACCACCACCACCAGCCTGAACCGTGGATACAAGGCAGGATGGATCCACCACACCATGACACCACCACCAGCCTGAACCATGGATACAAGGCAGGATGGATCCACCACACCATGACACCACCACCAGCCTGAACCATGGATACAAGGCAGGATGGATCCATGCTTTCATGTTGATTACTAGAGATGAGCGAATTATTCAAAAATTCGATTCGGCTGATTCGCCGAATTTGCGGAAGAAATTCGATTCGATGCGAATTTATTCGCTGCAAATTTAACTTATTAAAAGGGTTTCTAGGCTTCAGAGAGCCTTTATATTAGTGCAGAACACTGTACCTTTAATTTAAATGCCCTTGGAGTCTGCTGGGGAAGAGAAATAATACTGTCAGTCAGTATGACATGCAGATGAGTGCCGTCGATCTTAGAATCACCGCACACTTCACTCATTTGGGCAGTCACGGGGCACGACGAAGAAGATGAAGAAGAAGAAGAAGAAAGAAGAAGAAGAATGAAAAAAGAAGAAGAAGAATGAAAAGAAGAAGAAGAAGAAGAATGAAAAGAAGAATGAAAAGAAGAATGAGAAGAATGAAAAGGAGAATGAAAAGAAGAAGAAGAATGAAAAGAAGAAGAAGAAGAATGAAAAGAAAAATGAAAAGAAGAAGAAGAAGAATGAAAAGAAGAAGAAGAATGAAAAGAAGAATGAAAAGAAAAAGAAGAAGAATGAAAAAAGAAGAAGAAGAATGAAAAGAAGAAGAAGAAGAATGAAAAGAAGAAGAAGAAGAATGAAAAGAAGAATGAGAAGAATGAAAAGAAGAATGAAAAGAAGAAGAAGAAGAATGAAAAGAAGAATGAAAAGAAGAAGAAGAAGAATGAAAAGAAGAAGAAGAATGAAAAGAAGAAGAATGAAAAGAAGAAGAAGAAGAATGAAAAGAAGAATGAGAAGAAGAATGAAAAGAAGAATGAAAAGAAGAAGAATGAAAAGAAGAATGAAAAGAAGAAGAAGAATGAAAAGAAGAATGAAAAGAAGAAGAAGAAGAATGAAAAGAAGAATGAAAAGAAGAAGAAGAATGAAAAGAAGAAAAAGAAGAATGAAAAAGAAGAAGAATGAAAAGAAGAATGAAAAGAAGAAGAAGAATGAAAAGAAGAAGAAGAAGAATGAAAAGAAGAAGAAGAAGAATGAAAAGAAGAAGAAGAATGAAAAGAAAGAAGAATTCCAGTACAGCAAAAAAGTGTATCTGCAGAGAGCTCCGCTATTTCTGACAGTTCTCTTGACAGTTCCTTCACATTTACAGCGGTTGAAACATTGTATCTATTTGTTTTCCGAATAAAAACATCTGTATCCTAAATGGAAACAAATAGATACAATGTTTCAAAAAACGCTGTAAATGTGAAGGAACTGTCAGAGAACTGTCAGAAATAGTGGAGCTCTCTGCAGGGACACTTTTTGCCGGCTGTAGAAGGGATGAAAAATCGGCCGATCGGGAAAAATTCGATTCGCGCATCCGAAGTTTGCTAATATTCGGATTCGGTGCGAATCAAATTTTTCCTAATATTCGAAACGAATTCCACTTCGCCAAGTTC